ATCAGTGTCACTGATGAGCAGCTACACCTATCACAGCAGTATCTCCTTCTTCGGAACACATCGTACACGTCCCGAGTTGGAAACAGCAAAGACCGCGTAGGTGGCGGCATGCTCTCCTCATCGGATAAGGCAGGTTCAGGGATGGGACCGAGTTCAATGCCGTTGTTCATTGTTCATCGAATGGAGCATTCAACACAAACCAATTGACGGAACACGATGGAATGGATCTCTCAGGATATGATCAGAGATTCACGTCGGAGTCAGGAATGTTCTCTCCCACGAAACGAATCCATCGTTCTAGACAACGTCTAGACCTAAGCATCTTAAGTGACCATCTGAAATGCCCCAAAAGCCCAGAATAGACTGAGTCTATCGCTTCTTCTTCGATTCCCATCTGTGAATGATATTCCAGTAGAATCACATATCTTCTCTACGAACAACGAAAATCTACTTCCGGAATGACCATCCATTCTTCGTCCATTGAATCCTATGGATAATCCGAGATTTTAGATAACGAAATGTGAATCATCATCAGGAATATTGAGACACCCTGTATATCAAAATCTGGCCCACTGAGATCTAGGAGCATATGTGAATGCGGACGTCATGCAATTCATTCGGAACATGCAATATGTTAATCAATATGCTATAGGTGAAGGATAAATAACTATTTTATCATCGTATCAGACCGCTTCCAGCGAAGGCGGGGTGTTCAAAATCTATGTTCCCTGTAACCGTCTGATACACTGAGGGAGACAGTGTTCTTTCTCTTTACCACTTTCCACTTCTTCTGGACCTATATAAGCACTGCAACAACTGGAATAAATACTGGGTAACACCAACTGTCTGTTCTATTATACTGAGCTCTGCTTAAGTGTCCAGTGAATATCGAATAGCTGGAAAATGGAACAATAGGAAGCAGGATTCTGATAGAGGCAACGCTGCCTTTCTCGCTAAGACCCCATGTCACGAACAGGACCAGGTCCGTTGCGTCACCATCATATATTCACTACCCCGACAACACAAGTCACTTTACAATACAGCCTTCAACACACACTCACAGAGAGAGACCGGGTAATCACCAAGGGTAATCTTATCATACGGTTAATCCAAGGGGTTTCTGCCCCCTTCGCTCATGTATATATTCCGTATTCATTATTCTGTATATCATTCATTATTTCCTAAGTTCAATAATCTCAATCAGAGATAAAATAAATTAATGCTCAGAGTCGGCAGCACGTGGGGGGATTCGCGCCACCAACGGCGGCGCGTATCAATGGCGGACCCCTCTCCGAACAGTCATGTGGCCCCGGAGGGCGCGGCGGTCTCTGCCTCGGGCTGTCGGCGTAGCTGTCAGTGGCCGAGGCAGTGACGTCATGCGCCAGTCGCGATCTCAACGTTGACTGGGACCGATCACGCTCGGTTCCCAGCATCAGTTCCTCGGAACTCAGGGTTCAAGCCCCTAGTTCGAGTTCGCACAGGATAGGCCTGGGTCACGCCCCGCTATCCTGATTCAGCCCCCAAGTGCGCACAGACCTGGAGTCCATTTCTAGTAAATTACTTCGTGTCCTCATTGGAAGTGTTTTCGAGGCTGTGTCACAATAAATGGTGTCAGAAGTTTCAAGAACTCATCGCTCGGAGGTTCGAATCTATCAGCATAGTATCTCCAGGAGGTGAAGACTCCGTCCAAGGACTCTCACTCCCTCGAGCTCTCTTCAAGAACCCAGGATTCGCTACCACAACCAGGCAAAACGAGCCGAGTGCGTGGAAACCCAAAACCGAGAATCTCAGGGAGTCACGTCTCCCAGATTCCTCCGAGGGCAGCAATCCAAACCAGTGTTCCCAGCGATCCTGAACTCTACTAATTCCGAGGTTAAATTTCCATCAAATCATCAGACATCCGGACGGCGAGGCCTAACCAACCATGGGTGACGGGCCGAGGAGAACCATTCAAGAGATGTCCCAGGACTCCTTCGACAGGGAGAATTCCCAATTCCTCGCGGATCAGTTCCAACACATGAGAGTGGACAACCGGATCAACGACAGCGAGGAAGAAGAGATCTTCAACAGAGCCCAGGGCCTTTTACCCCCGATGCCTGACTCTCCACCACCGTCAACCACGGCTGCAACCCGATCAAACGCCGCCGGCCAGCCCGAGCCAGGCACATAGTCCAACCAAACTGCGGGGCAAGAGACGCACTGTCCATCATCTCACACGACAGATGCGTCCTCCCCAATGTTGAACCCTGTGGTCGAGTATCTCAAAGAGCGCATTGATTTCTTCCTGGAGGAGGCGGGTTCGTTTTACAACGACGACGACAATCTTAGGGATTCATTAGCGGAAACAGATCGTCTGAGAGGCATTCTGACAGATCTCTCCTCTCAATGGATCCAATCCTCACAGTCCCTAATGAATTCATCAACTCCGACCCCCCCCCCCCAGAACTCAGGAAATCCTGAATAAAGACGGAGAACGAAATTAGCAAGGCTATCACACATCTGAAGGAGCTAAGGGTATCAATCATAAACGAGATAAACTGCTCCACAGAGACGACCTTCGCTACTACTCAGACCCGTCTCCAGAATGCAACCACCAGCTCAGAGCTCCCGGCCCGGGATACGACGCCGAGCGCTCAGATCTCCTCATTGGATCCCCCTCAACCAGAGGACGACATTCGATTAGCTTCAACCCAAATCGACGAAGTCCGAGGGGCGACACGTGATCACGAGCGAACTCCACAAGAATCCTTCCGGTTCTCCCACATCGCCCAGATGCCACCGCCAGACTCCACACCTAGCATGGGAAACCCAATCATGACCCCCATCGGCTCTCCCCAACCAGTCTCAACGAGTCCAAGAGCTCCGGAACCGAGCCCCCAGCCAGCGGCCATCGCGAGCACTTCTTCAGGAGAAAACCCGGAAAACTACCTGCCGAAGCTAGCGAAGAACTTCAAAATGCCAAAGTTCAACGGTGATTCCAAGGAATACCGAAAGTTCATGGATACGTTCAACGCCTTCGTGCATAATCGTGAGATTCCGGTTCTTCAAAAGATAATCCTGCTGCAGGACTCGCTATCAGGCAAGGCCTACCACTCGGTGAAGCATCTCAACTTACGAGCGGAAAACTACAAACCCATGAGGCAGCTCCTAGAAGAGGAGTTTGGTCAGACCAGTTACGCGGAAGACGCCCACGTTCGAGAGATGGAGAGAATCCTGTCTTCTGGAGGGGAAATCACAGTGGATAAGTTACCCTTTTTTGTAAACTTGGTCTCTCAACATATTCATGCATTGATCGCCCTAGGGCTTACGTTCACATCACTCTCCCTTTTCACTAACAGAATACTAACCAAACTCTCGATCACTACACAACGTAAATTCATGGAACAATATAGCTCGCAATCAACGAACCAAACTACGCAGCTGGAAAACCTGCTGAAGTTCGTGAAGACAGAAGCCCGCTTGACGGAAGCACTCCGGGCAAAACAAGGAGCCGCGAGGAAACAGTTCCCAACCTCGACGCCGTTCCGAGGCTCGAACCAAGGAAACAGAGCAGACCATTCGACCTCGCACCGCCCAGGGAACCCCAATTATCGTTCAGAATCCTCCCAACTCAGGCCAGACCACATGTCGTTTAAAAATACCTCCAATAGTTTTCACGTATCATCATTCAATAATAGAATACCCGATCGCCCCGTCCCAACCACCCCGCCCCGATCCCGACCCATACCTTGCATTTTCTGTCAGGCAGATCACCCGGCCTTCAAATGCACAGCCCAGCTATCGCACCGCGAACGCCTCGAGAGGGCTACAACAGCCGGAGCCTGCTTGCGATGTCTCAAACTGAACCACATCGCAAGGAACTGCAGGGAGGGCCCAAAGCACAACTGCCGGTTCTGCAACGCCAAGCATTATGCAATAATATGAAGCAAGGCTCCCATCAACCAGAACGAGCCCCCCACGCGAGTCACCTCCGTTAACCACAGCGCAGATCCCAGGGAAGAATCAACCTTCCTGTGAACAGCTCATGTTATCGCCGAGAGCGACTCGACCAGCAGTGTGTGCCGCATACTCATAGATCCAGGATCGGAATCCTCACACATCACGGAGGCGATGGCGAGAAAACTTAACTCCCGACCGACAACCCGCCTCGACATGGCGATGGCCACAGCAGGGGGCCAGGTCACCAATATCCATAACTGCGGAGTGCATGACATCGTGCTCAGGAGCAGATACGACCCCAACAGATCTCTCAGGCTCAGTGCAAT